ACTTAGGTAAAAATGAGATTTTACTACTTCCTGGCTGTGTGATATTGGACCAGAAGTTTTCATGTCAGTTTTCTCACCTATAAAGTGAGATACCAAAACATAGATTGCATGGTTGTGGAGTTGTCTGTCTAGCTCATGGAAAAACATTGAGTGAAAGAATTTTATTAAATAATAATGATTTTGGATATGCATAACTTGATATTAACTTAAATATGTTTTATCAGTATAAATCATTAGCATACATTCTCAATGTTTATAATAAAAGCTCTTATCTTTATTGATACATAAATAAATATACAGTTATAAATTGCCAAAAAATACTTTATTATTGTTTTCAAATAATAAAAATCTCTTAATTCATTCCCAATTGGAAATTCACGTCCATTTCAGAAGTCAAATTCTCAGTGGCAGTAGAAGATTGAGATCATAAAAGAATTAAGGCTAGCCAGTATTTCATACCTCTAAAGTTTCCAAATTTTTGGAGTGTTCATCTAGGGCTGGAAAGAGGGTGAAATTGTCATCACTTTCCAATCTCTTCCTGAATTGTTTTTTCCCTGACTTTTGATGAGGGTGATATTTCTGACCACCCCAGACTTTCTGGGTAGAAGTGGGAGGTGAGGTAACTCCTGACTCATTGCACTAGAAATATATCCTCCACTTCATAAAGATGTCACATCTTGGTATAGAGTCAGGCTTATTTTTAAAAAATGCAAATTGATAAAAAAAATAGCAAAAAATCTTGGTAACAAAGATCTTCACAGTAGTAGCTTCCTTTGAGTGCCAAAAACTTCTCATGTATGGGCATGTAGGCCTTCATGATACGTGCAAAACACACCCACTTCTGCCTCCACACATCTATGCCAAGGAATAGCACTTACAGGACTAATGCCAGACTTCAGCTGCAAGGGGCTTAGTTAGGTCTCTGTGCTTTGTGATTAAAGGTTTGGTGCTTTAAGACCACCAGAAGTGAAGCAGTGTGGGGTTGGTAGAACAGGCTCCTGGCTGTAGCTCTTCGTTGCATGGTGGCTCAGATGGGAGGTGCTAGAGTAAACCCAGCCCTCATCTTCCTTTCTGATGGTGTGATTAAATGTGCTTTGTTTGGGTGTTGCCTGGTAGAGGAGAATAATAACACTGCCTGGGTAGGAAGGGTATTGTCCTGACGTGTGGCGTCCTTTTGACTTCCTCCCCCAAGTGGAGCACTTCCTGCTTTCCAGCTGAATGATGAGTCATGCAAAGAGACTTGAGGATGTGACCCAGGAGACCAGTCAGGCCATAATTATTTGGATGGCATGTATGACACATCTGCTTTTGGCACACATCCCATCTAGGTAGAGCCGGGAAATGCAAGAAGGGCTGGAAATAGCTCATGGTTGGCGTCTTCAACACTAGTCACTTGATGCTTTCAACAACCTAAAATGCCACATCAAAGTAGTCATGTTTATCAGGATTCTCACTGTGAATCTGAACGTTCTGGTGATTATTTCTATTTCTTGTGATTTCTGACAATGGAGAAGCATTTTTAGAATTTATTCAGAGTGAGAGATTAGTGAAGGGTTTGATATATACCTGAGATAGACCTATGTATATATTGTAATGGCACCTAGAAATGTGTGGCCAGGAGTACAGCCATGCAAAAAAATCTTCCTGGGGTGTATAAGGAAGGTGGCTCATAGTGTATATTAAGTTGTGTTCTTATAAACACACACACACACACACACATGAGGGGTCTCCAAAAAGTTCATGGAAAGATCACATTTTCTTTTAATTCTTTTTTTCCATGAACTTTTTGAAGTACCCTTATATATACATACATATATATATATTAAATTTTGTTGAATTCCAACTATGACCTTAGGAGGTAATAATAAACACAAAAATAGCTAAATGCCTAATGCTTGCTATGGGCTTGTTGTTATGCTAAATAGGTACCTTCTATACATTGTCTATTTAATCCTCCTAACAACCCTGGCCAGTAGAAATTATTCCATTTTGTAAGTGAGGAAACTGAGAATTTGGAGAGATTAAGGAACTGGCCCAAGGTTGCATTGCTAGTAAGCACAAGAGTTAGGATTTAAACTAGTTCTGTCTGGCTTTAAAACCCATGTTTTGTGCCATGCTGTTTCTCCCTCTTACTGTCCTATTATCAAGCAATACCAGCTACAAACCAGCCAGCCAATCAGCCAAACAAACCAGTAAACAAGTAAACCTAAATATGGCGTAGTATTTCATTCTCATAGACACTTACGAAAAAATAGGAATCTATAACATTGAGTTAAATTCAGTAAACATGAAATCCTTACTATATTGGACATGCTTCTTATGACACCCTGAGGTGAAAAATCAGGAGATACTTAAGAAGAAACCACCATCTTACACAGGAATGCTACTGTTCTTATCTTAGTCCCTTATGTTATTATATTTCATTTCCTACAAGAAGTGGCCTGTTGGAGGGTCTTCCCTTTGATTTCCTAAAAACTGAAGCATGTGTATTTCTCTGTATGTATCATGATGTGGAAAAACTTCCTCCTCAAAAACATCTTTCCCATTTCAACATGCCCACACTTCACAGCGAGATCAAAGTCATGGTAAGAGGCCATCACACCAGGTGATGGAACAGCCCAGAGTGCACTGGTAAGTCTGGGAGAAAAGTAATCCACCATGTCCCATCTTTGTCCTCCCTGCAATTTGTTTTCATTTAAAAGTGATTGACTTCAGAGAAAATGAAGTTATGATATTATGTCGGCCAGCTCTTGGATATTTGATTTATGACCAAAAGAAGAGTCCAGAGGCAGCTTTGTCTAAGGAAATCTTACGCATGGTATAAAGTTAATATCGTAAATAAATTTAAGAGCTTTCTAAGCATGCTGGTGATTAGTTTAATTTTTAGCTCCTTTTTGTCACATAGGTTTTAAAATTATTTTTATTTTAGGATTTCTTGGTCTGGAGATGTATATATATACATTTTTGATATAAGTAAGTTATTGTGTACCCCAAACACTTTCTGTGCCCTAGGCATTTAGTTCACACATATGCAAATTTATTTAAAGAATGATGCTGCATATATGCAATATACAAAATACATAGACACGGGGAGGAGAAGAGGAAAAATTGCATGAAACACCTATTGGAGAAAACCAAAACCCATTTACTTGCCCATATGTTCTTTATTGCACTTATTTTATTTATTTTTAAGAAGCACAAATTAATTTAGCCACAGTTTCCAAATGAGGGCAATAAATAAAATTGTCTCACAACACTTTCCCCTAGTTCCATGTACCAAACAGGGAATAGCTTGCTCCTGGTCTTGTATATAGATCTCCATGCCCCCTGCTCCACATGATCAGCAATGCACTAAGGATCTGCATTTATATTTTTACTTTTAATGAAAGAAATATGTTGTGGGTATTAATTATGG